TTTGTGTGTGTTTTTTGTTTCAGATATGAAATCATTCCCCATATCTATAGTCGAATGGACTTTCAAGACGTTCAATGCTCAGTTTAGGCTATATTTAGGCCATGTTTCATTCAAGTATTCCTGATCCTGTTGATTGGGAGCTGTTGTTTGTTTTGAATGATTAAAAGAGAAGAAATAAAGTTTAAAATGTTCATGCTTTGTTCTGATGCATTTTAAATGGCAGTTTTTGGCGATAAATGTAGGCCTACAATATTATGTTAAAAACATCAGCCACAGCCCTCAACATAATGATGTCATATGTTTTCCAACCCAGCCATCAGCCCCCCTCGCTTGAAACAGCTTCCAGCGCGCCTGGACTTATCGTTTTCGAGAACAAAAAAAGGCAACTTTGAGTCACGTTTGAACTGATGCAGCTTGGGTGTTTTACTCACCCAATTTTCATGTATATATTCAGAAACTAGAGGATGTAAGCTTTCCAATAACGTATCACAAATGTAATTTGGGCTTACAGTTCCTTTGTTATTTGCTTTTCCATTTGGGTATGCAAAATAGGCGAATTTCCCAGAAATGAGGTGGATATTAAGAGGCTGTCTTTTTCCCTTTGCATTTTGTTACCAATTATATTCTGATTTTAAATGTAAAAAACATTTGTTTTTCCATGATGTGTGAAACATCATGGAAAAAATTTAAATAAACTAATATGCCAGTTTGTCTGCTAAATATCTCATAAAATGTGCATAGATATAGTTGTGGTTGTTGTCTTGTGGTATATACCGTGGGGGGGAAAGTATTTAGTCAGCCACTGACTACTTAGAAAGATGTTATTGATGGCATATGTTCAATTGTCCTTTTTCTGTTTTGGAATTGTATTTTGAATTTCTAAAATAAAAATATATATATAAAAAAAAAAAGACATCCACTGTTGCCAGGGTATTTTCAGGGTTATTTTCACTTGAACAAACATAATCACTTGAAATGTTTATTTTATTTGTCATTTGACTTTGAATGTTTAAAACTAGCAGAATATTGACAAAGTTTTGTGTACATTTGTAATGGAAACTCAGCTCTTCTGTCCTCCATCCATAATGGCACCTTTTTGAACTCGTTATCCTTATAAAAGTCACCTATCCACAGAAACAAAAGGTCAGAAATTATTGGTTAACTCACATAGTCAAACAAGTAATGTAATAGTAGTAAATAAATTATAAATCTTGCTAATTCGTTTTAAATATTAATGATATTTTACCTAACATTAGACCAATCTGTAACCTTCCCCTGTCTCTTCCTGATGCTTTCTGGTCTTTCTCTCCATCATTGCTGCTAAATGACATTCATTTTGTTTAAAGGAGATTTTAAAATAAAGCAATCAAACCAGAAATAAAAAATTTTTTTTTTTTTCCCCAGCAGTGTCCTGTCTGGTGATGTGGTCATAAGAAAAATTGTCTTGATGCCAAAAAGAGCCCAACAGATTTTGTTTTCACAAGTGGAGCAGTACGGCTATCGCCATAGTGTTCCGCTTAATTTATGCATATAAATTGCTTTATTATAATTATGCAGGGAGTATTATGGGTTATATGGACACTGCAATGTAAGAAGAACAGGAAAGGAAAAACAAAAAAAGGAGAAAAGATGAAAGAAAGAGGAGATAAAATGAGAGACCAATAAAACGTCTTCAATCTGCTTCATCACCTGCAAAGAGATGTAAAAAGAACAGCACAACCAACGGATATAAGAGATACAATAGTAATTAAAACCTTGATACTATCGCTGAAGTATAAGTAGAATTATTTAATCTGACATGTATACTGTGGCAGCTGAAGGTAACAATATGAATTTCTAAGAAACTGGAATCAAGCATTTTATTTTCAAATATTATCCATGTTAGATGTCGGTTACTAACTGGATGCTGCATATATAATCTCATTTTTATTTTTTTATTGGTTAAATAAATGATTTACGTGGAAACAACTCATCCTGTCACGATCTGTTGTAAATACTTATTAATAGGGGAGGCAGGGGAAAACACTATTAGCATTTTTCTCTGTTAATCGGAGATGGTTTAAATCAAGACAAAACACATTTTTGTTAAATACATGTGTTTCAATAGTCAAACCAATTTAAAGCTGATTAAATATAGTTTTAGAATTTTCAATTTACTTTTAATGCAGAGTCAGATGTAACAACGGAGCAGGAACCTTTAAACCTATAGGTTTGGGCTTAAAATAAAATATCAAAGTTAAAGCAGGAATAGTTTTATACCCTGAAAGCAGTATTTTATTAATAAATCCAGGAGCGGCTCTAGAAAGGAGGACATCAGTCTAATATGTTAACCTAACATAGACTAACATAAATTTATTACTAACTTTCAGTCATTTTTACTCATCTCAATGTCTTTATCTTTCTTCTTCTTCCATTTATTGGTTTACTGCCTCAGACAGCTGTTGTTTTTCTTTCTCTCTCTTTATTTTCCCAACCATCATCAAATGACACCTCCTTTTCAATGAGTGAGAACAGAGAAAAATGTCCTGGGTTTTAAAATAAACCTTTATGCTGGCAGCCATACCTGATATACAAGTTTTAAATCATTAAATAATTTTAAAAACTTTCAGAAAAAATACAAGACTGTGACTCTTTTTTACAAATATGAAGCTTTAGCTCTTTGTTTTAGAAGTCAAGGTCCTAAGGGGTAATTCTGTATGAGTTTTGATTGGCATGCATGCTCTGTGTATCAGTTGGAAACCACTGTCTACCTGGAGATGATGCTACTTATTCAATGCAAGACCAATGAAGATAAATAGTGTTAGAGAAAAACTTACCTACAAACACAAGAGTCTTCTCTTCTCTTCTCTTCTCTTCTCTTCTCTTCTCTTCTCTTCTCTTCTTTTCTCTTCTCTTCTCTTCTCTTCTCTTCTCTTCTCTTCTCTTCTCTTCTCTTCTCTTCTCTTCTCTTGGTGAAACCTTACACTCTCCAGAGTAAACTGACACTTGTAACAGCATCTCATCCCTTGCAAACAGGTAAAGTCAATGCGGTTCCCTGAATGCATGCATCTACAATGTTTAGAAAATAGTAAGCTACATGGATACAGTCTAGCAATACAGACACTGGTTGACTTTTTTTTAAAATAAAAATGAATTAATCTGACATTCAGAGTCAGTTTAGTTATATTTAACATGAAACATGGATTTAGTTTTGAAATATTACTTGAGATGGATGTAAATTGCACTTCTTCACTACGTGTCGTCACGTCTCATCTCATAGCTGATCCTGGCTGACCTGAACCCTAATTGTTTTTTCACAGGCTGTAAGTGATTCATTCAAAGCAGAGACAGCATCACTCCAGCAGCCAGACTGGGACGAGGATCCTCAAACAAAAACACCCATTCATAAGGGAGGCAGGGGAGGAAAGGAGGAAGGCGGGAGGCATTGGGTGGGTACTTTGTGTGTGTGTGTGGGGGTGTTGCTATATTTGTTGTGAAACCCATAGAAATTATTTCAAACCAGGATGTTTAAAGTGCCTTCTGTTCATGTTCCAAACTGATCATCAGCAGATCACAATCAATTTATTTATGAAGCCAGAAACAAACAACTGAACTGACTTAAAAAAGACACACCAGAGAGAGAGAGAGAGAGAGAGAGAGAGAGAGACAACAAAAGCTGGGGACCAACAAAAGCCCTAGATGCCATGAGGAGACTGATGGTGCCTTCAGGTGCACTCTGTAAAATTATAAACAAAGTGAGAAACTAGGATCCGATCAGTTAAGATTGGAGGCTTTCTCTAAGTAATTGCAAATATTTTATCAGAACAATCTAAAGTGGTTTTCAAGCCATCGAATGAAACAGATTACAACGCAGGCACAGAAATGATCGTTTTAGCAGACTAAAATCTGTAATAAATCTGCAGCATTGTAAATAGAAGAATATCCATTTTCAATAACCTAGAAAGTTAATTAAAAGAGCTTTTAATTGAGGAACTCTATTCACTAAGTGATACACGTTATGTGTATTTTCCTCAGAGACTGACAATTTCAAGATGTTAATTAGGATGATTTTCGGCTCACAGAAAACTTTTATTCAGAATGCGTATTTTAATTTACTGCATGACATAATATGCTAATAAACAAACGCTTGTGCTTTAAAGTGTTTTCCTTGGTTTTTGAAAAATTATTCTGTCAAATCTGGTTGATTGGAAATAACTCAGTGCTTATTATGTAAATAAGCAAGAAGATTTTTGCAAATATTCCTTGACGGAACAACTGCTATGTGTAATCCACTAAGCTGGTCTTAATAAAGACATTGCATCAGCTCAGCTGTTTAAAAAAAAAAAAAAAAGGATTCATAACAGTGCCAAAATGGTAGCATAAATTCATCTACAGATTAATACTTCTAGTATTTGTTCATTTCCAAATATCTGACTTCCGATTATTGGGCCTGGTCACTCCAAGCAAGATCATTATGATTTTTTTTTTATTTTCTTACAGTGTTGCACAATTTTATAATTGTTCCAGTGTTTTATACTTTTTGAGACGAACAGTAAATGAATATCACACTTAGCTGTCAGAGCGTAAGACAAAAAAATAGAATTTTTTCTTCACCTTTTTAGGCAAAAATATATACAGAACCTTGCAAACACACAGACAGCAACTGCAACTGCAAATTATATAAGGGTTTCTTGATAGTTTAACACAAAACAGTGCATTTATGAAGAAGAAAAATAAGTTTTCAAATGTATCTTAAATAAAAGATGTGCAATATGTCTTCTTTCTTCTTTGGTCAAGACTTAGCAGAACTCCCTTTTACTGTAAATACCCCCTTTGGAAATCTATTGGTGTATGCCTCTCCCAGTTTTGCACAATTGGAGACTTTTCTTATCCAGCCTGTCGGTTCAGCTTGATGACCATATCTTGGTCAGGTTTTCTGATTGTGTTATTCTCGTTCTGTTTCTGGATTAAGTGAAATGTTCAAAGCTTTGAGTGTTTTTTTTTTCTAAATCTCCCTCTAAGCCTTTTCAGGACTTTTCAGCTGTATTTATAGTTTTTCACTAATGTTTTCTGTTCTAAGAACAGCTCGTTTACTTTGAAATTGAAACACACACCGATAGATAGACCTGGCTCTTATATTTTGATGCCTTTAAAGGCATTTAGGTAAACTGGGTTTTATCTTTGGGCTCGTATAATTAAATACGTATAAGCCACCTTTTTTCTGTTTTTGTTTTGCTAAAAAATAACCACGGTCAGCACTGTGATTTGTCTTGTAACTGGCATGTAGTATCAAAATAAAAAGCCTTTCCTCCATATTGTGTTTGGATTTTTTTCACTAGTTTGTGTTGTTCCGGCACATAAAGTAAATTGAAACTGAGGCAAAATAGTGTGTTTAGGGATTCTGAATATTAAGATACTATTGCTACCATTATGATCGCCTCTTTGTAAAATAATTATGAGTTGGGTCAATTGCATTAAACTAAATCAACCACTTTGGGGCGCCTTGGGTCACAAATTGTGGAAAGATTCCGACAGCATTTGGTCAGGTTTCCTGGTTATTTTTCTAAATATGCTTTTTCAGGAATTCCCTGCTGTGCCTATAGTCCTTCACTAATGTTTTCTGTTCTAGAAACAGCTGGGTTATTCTTATTATTGAAGAAATAAATAGGGTTAAACAAATAAATAAAAAGGAAGAAAAAAACAGACAAAAATATTATCACATGCACATAAATAAATACCTGAAAAAGGTAATAAATAAATAAAGTTGAAGATTACAATGTAAAATAAATAAATAAGGTAATTATAACAAAGGTGAATAAATAAAGAAGCTAATTAAAAGAGATATATACATTTATGTCTTACTGTATAATTTAATTTCTACCTACATGTATTTGTTTATTGTATTTTTGGGGGAATTAATTGTATGTTTTTTTTTATATAGGGCATTTATTTATTTACGTATTTATTTTTAAATATGGCAGAGTTGGTCCTCCATAAACAATGGGTGAATTGCATTAACCTAAATCAACCACTTTGGGGCGCCTTGGGTCACAAATTGTGGAAAACCTCAAATTTCCGACAGCATTTGAAGGCAGCGGGAGTCCTCCCAGTCGGATCCGACTGAACGTGACGTGCGAACCGGAGACGAGGAGCGAGGTTTCCTGGCGGAGCAGCGGAGGGAGCAGGAGCCGAGTCTTTAGCGCAAACCCCCTCCTCTTCAGCACACCGCCGGTAGCCATGGCTCCATCGCTGTCCTCCTGAGCTACCCTCACTCCGTGGCTGCTTCAGTAACCCCAGAAGAGGGAAGGAGGAAGAGGAGGAGGGGGCATCCCTATCGGTCTCCAGCTATCAGGTGAAATAATTGGACCGGCTGAATGTAACATGTTAGAGGGGAATGGTTCAGTGGGACGGGCTGGAGGTGGGAGCAGGGGTCGTGGGTTTTGTCGCGGCGGGGTTTGTCTGGTAGGAGCAGAGGTTATGGTGCTAGCTAGCTCGGGGCTCACAGACCCCCCCTCCCTGCTCCGGCGTCGTCATCCGCGAGGCTGGAGAGGATGCCTCACCGGGATGCTGCTGCTGGAAGGAGGGAGGGAGGCTTAGCGGCACCGTCAGTCTGGCCTCGGCCCATCTTCATGATGAACGATACCCCCAGCCTCCACATCCTCTCTTCCACCCCCCAGACTCACCCTAATAAACACTAATGTTCACTCTAAAACAACAAAAAAAAAAATACAAAACAGGGATATTTAACCATGATGGCGGATGAATCAGCCGCTTCACTCTAACGGTTAGCCAGTTCTAGCTAGCCTGGCGTACAGCTATCTAGCCGGGCTACATTAGCCCCCCCACCCCCCGTATCCTCCGACTAGCATCCCTGGCTAGTCTGCATCCTCCCTCCGAGGTCGTTTCGGTCTCCCCGCGGTCTCCCTGCCGGTGTCCCACCGCCCATGCGTCGCCTCGGCTCCTTCAGGTCGCCCTGAAAGCCTTCGCCGGATATTTATTCCCGTCTGGCCCTTGGAAATATAAAGGAGCACGCAGAGCGGATTTTTTTTTTTTTTTTTTTGTTATGTAACAGATAATGACACCACACGCCCTTGAAACAAAAGCTGTTGTTTCGGTGTTTGTGTGAGGTGCTGGAGCCGGTGGTTGACGGTCAACCAGGGACACATGGGCGGCCTGTGGTACCGGCGGCCCGCGGCTCTGGACAGGCTCCAGAAAGACACAACTGCTTTTCCGGTCTGTCTGTCAGCCATTGTTTTTGTTGTCATTGGACAGGCAGGGGGTGGAGGGGTTCACTTCCCCCCCACCCCCTGCCTGCCCTGGATCTTCTATTGATGCTCTGCAGTGAAGGAGCATGGCCAGCGTCCAATCAAAGCTTCTTCAGGCTGAATGTTCAAAAACAAATGTGCATCAAAGACTCAGCTTCTCAGTATTTATAGTTTCTGCTGATATTTCTTAAAAATCGTTAGAAGCTTTGTGTATAATTGCAGATTATACTTCTGCAACCGCACACATCATACGTCGCTTTTATCTGGTCACGAAACAGTTTTGCTGGTATGCTTCTGCAACCTCGGTCTGGAATCTCTAAGGTCGCACAGCAGTTTCCCGCCAAAGCACAAGGGGGAGCCTATTCGAGAACTCATAAGAACTTCGGCGGCGCCGGCGGAAGTGTTTATCATCAAAAACAACAATGGCGCGTCTGCAAGGTGTCACGGTCACACAGGTTCTGTTAATGGAGCAATCCTTGATTAACCTTTAGTCGCAGTTATCCATTGTAGTTGTTCCTCGGATTTAAAAATGGCGCGAGAAGGATGACCACACAGACAGCTGGAAAGTATACCAAGGACCAATCACAGCTGCTTTTTGTCTGCGCACTTCCGCTCGAGGTCTGCGTGGGTTTGCGACCGTCTGACCTCTGCATGGGGGGCGTGGTCGTGCACAGAGACAGATTTGACGGTGTCAGAGGCTATGCGTCAGAAGCATAAACTGGACTTATGGCGTGTTAAAAGCACGCTGCCGTTTGTGAAAAAGGAAAGAAAACACATTTGAAAACATAATGAGTTATGACTTTTGGATATTGTCTTTCTGGTTAGCAATTTACAATAAAAGTTGTGGCTGTAAAAGCTGTCAAACTTGTGCAAAAGTCTCTACATATCCAGTAGTAGCCATTTAAAATGTCCCCCACTTTCATTAATTGGCCCCTTGACTGGTCCCCTACAATTCCTCTTTAAAGTCTTAGGGAAATCATATGTAAATGTCAAATCATTCTGGCTTAAACATGTATGTAAATGTACTCTTTATCAGACGATGTTATCCCTGAAACTTAGAACATTTTTAATTTGAAAAAATAATTTGTTTTAAAATATGTGTTGTTGTTTTTTCTCGTTATCTTATGCAGGCCAGTTAGTTATACATCAGCCTGAACACATAAATTCAGCCAATCATATATCAAAGGTCATCAGTCATAGCTTCTTGATTCATATGTCGCAGCTAATATACGCAACGGTTGAAATAAGAATCCTTTCCTTTCCCATTGAGTTCCGTCCCAGTGTTCACGGGGATGGACGTCTGTGTCTTCAGCAGGCGTAGAGCTAACAGAACTGGCAGCGTTGCGAGGCAAGGGCTCAAACATGTACGGCTGGAAGCCTTCTACACCAAACCAAGCTCCTGGCGTCCTCTTCCACAACGTCTTCGTCCCCGCTTTCCTCCTCTAAATAAAAAATGGATGACGGAGGAGACTCATCCACGACCTCCGACACTAAACTCTCCTCCTCTTGCATGTTTCCGCTGTCCATAGCGTCGTTTCTAAGTCACCAATTTAATGCTACTTGGTCCCAATGGAATTTCCCGTTAGGAACCTACTAACATTAAGTTGCTAACTGGTTAGCAAGATGCCTTGTCGCTTGTGAACCTTCCACCACAACAATCCCATCCCCTTAATAAAAAACCAATCACATTCACTTTATTCACTCGTGTAAAGTCGTGCACCACTCGGGAGAATTTGGAAATGAAACAGTTGGAACAGTAGATTCCCTATGACTTTAAAATCGTTGGAAGCTTTGTGTATAAGACATGTTAAAAACAGGCTGCCAGTTGTGAAAAAGGAAAGTAAACGCATTTGAAAACATCTTGAGTTATCAGTTCTGGATATTGTCTTTTGGGTTAACAGTTTACAATAAAAGTTATGGCTGTACAGGCTGTCAAACTCAGAAAAGGGAAAAAAAAATGTGAAAAAGTCTCTCATTCTAAATCTCCCAACTTTCCTTTTTAAACATCAATATTTGTCCAAAAATATTCTTTCTGCCATGATTTGTGGACATTAAGATCTAAAGAGAAGCACAATTTCCTGGTCAGAGCCTGTAGTTCAGTGAAAGGGTGGAGTCAGAGTAAACGAATATGCAAGAGGGGGTCACTCCAGTGGCTGGAAGTTGGAGGGGATTTTGCTGGGTGTCTGATGGAAGTGGGCTGCCATTCGGGTTGGCGTTTGACTAGAAAGGGCCATGTGAACGGCTGCTACTGTACGCTTTGAACCTTCACTCATTGCAATTTTTTATGTGCTACATTAACAAACAGCAATGCAGATTACAGGGTTAATGTGGTTAATAAAAAATCATTAAAAGTCATGAAATTATTATTGTTTAACTGAAGGCCTTCATTTGCATTAAAATTCTTTAAATGTGTTTATTGTGGCATTTAAAATGCTTTATTTAAAAAAAAATGCTTATAAAAACAATTTCGTCAGACATATTATGTCACGATATATTGACGCGGAACTGCTTCCGGTTGATCGCAAAGCTGTATGTTCAGAAGAGAAGCTTGAGTCAGAGAAAAAGCTAGAAATTGGGGGGGGGGGAGCAAATTTCAACAAAAGTGGTTGGAAAACGAGGAATTCGGGACCTGGCTGCAGCCTGTCGATGGGTACCTGTTGGTGGCATTAAAATTATTTCTAAGAGCATTAAAAAGCATTAAGTTTGAGTTATTCATTCCTGTATAAACCCTGGATTAACTTGTTAACAATGAAACTTGCATGTATCTCAAAACTCAGACATTTGAGATAAAAACAGCTAGTTTATCCTAAAGAGGAAAATGTGGATGGATATTTTCCTTTTTAATCAATATAATTCAATTTAGTTTATTCATATTGTGCCACATGTCATCTCGAGGCACTTTACAGTTCAATTCTATAATTTATTGCTCAATTAATAGGTTTCGATGTAGTGTTATTAATTTACCTTCATTAATTCCCTGATTAGCTGGTAAAATCCACTTGGGTTTTTATTCACAGGTCTGTATATATTACTAAGTCAGATTTTATAGCAGATTGAGGTCAGAAGAAAGCCGGGTGTGGAACAATATATTCTAAATGAAACCTGAATACGTCGTCTTTAACCTCAAATATAGTCTTGGTAGAATCCTGATGCAGGGATGGCTGTCTTCAGCAGGAACAAAGTAGGGTTAAATACTGGGGAATGAAAAAGGAAAACCTGTAAAGGCTAAAAAAGACTGAAATCTGAGGCAGAGGTTTACTTTCAGTCAGATGTTGAGCTAAAAATAAAGCCAGAGCTACAGTAGAGCAGTTTGGACTAGTGATAAACCAATATGTTGGTCGGCTATTTTTTATTTTCTTTAGCCAATAATTAGCTGAAACTGTTCTTTTTTTCAGCTGATATGTGCACGCATTCCCACATTCATTAGCACATTCAGCAGCTATCGGGGTTGGGCATCATTTGAATTGGAACAATTCCGATTCCGATTAAAATTCCTCGTTTTGATTTCAGTTCCTATTAGGGATGCACGATAGCCGATAACCGATATCGATACCGATGTTAAAGCTGGAAAAAAATAAGTAGTCATTGAAAATAGCAGTTTTATTATCCATTTCTGACATTTTGAAAAATAATATACTCAAATATATTTTCATATGCTGATATCAAATTGATTTTT